ACAAGCGACGTGGATAAGCGCGTAATCACCTCTACCGTTTGTTTATAAAATCCATTTCTATGTTATTTTAAACCTAACGTAAATATTTTTTTTTTTAAATTAGATTAATTATACTTTAAATCAGCTAATAAAATTTCAGGAAAGTATATTTTATTTTTGGAAGTTTTTTAAAACCGAGAATAAACTTTTGTTTACAAATGTGTCAGAAATGGCCGATTTTTATCGATTTTTATCGATTATGTGAAAGCGACGAAAAAACGGAGATTCTAATCAATATAATTTTTATTTGAAATACACCAGACTATTTGGCATGCAAGAAATAGTTAATGTAATCATTTATCTTTCAGTTAACGTTAAAATGAAAACTTCAAGGATGCTTTTGCATTTTTAAAAAAATCATTTTAAACCTTGAGTATCGAAACTGAAGTATTGTTAGTAATTTTGGTATAAATATGCATTGTTGGTACTTTTTTTTAATATATAAAAATGAATTTTTATACTTTTATAATGTCTGGTTTTTGTTTTGGGGTTCACTATTTGCCCATAGCTGGGACCCTAACAGGTGCTACCACCCTGGATTTGAGTGCACCTGGGAACAACATCAATTAAGAGGTGTTTCCATGCTCCTCAAAACCTCCAATCGCCCGATTGGGGGGCCTTGCTGATGGAAACATGGACCTTAGGGACAACAGCAATTAAGACGTGGTTCCATGTCCCTGAAAACCTCCAATCGCCCGATTAGGGGCCTTGCTGGTGGAAAGGTGAACCTGGGAACAACAACAATCAAGATGTGGTTATATGCTACTCAAAACCTCCAATCTCCCCATCAGGGGCCTTGATGCCGGAAAGTTGATTCTGGGGACAACACCAATTAAGAAGTTGTTCCAGGCTCCTCAAAACATCCAATCTTTACCATTAGGGCCCTTGCTCCCGGAAAGGTGGACCTGGGAACAACAGCATTTAAGAGGTGGTTCCATGCTCCTCAAAACCTCCAATCTCCCGATCAGAGGACTTGCTGCCGGATATCTGTAATTGAAGTCATACAATCGTGTTGAAAATATTTACATTTCGGCATTAAATAACGCATAAAGGTTGATATGTCGCAAAACGAAATCAACCAAACTAACTAGGTAGGAGAGACACAGCACATTGATGTTTGGAAGCCATGCTTGTCGATCCCCTGTTGAACTTCTTTGTTCGTGACACCTGCATGCCTTAGAACAGACTCCTATTATCTTCCTCTAGCGAAGGGGCTCTCGGTGATCAGTACATGCAATACAGGGATCAAATCAAGGGCCAAACCTGACGACCCGTAGTATCCTCGCTGAGCAAACTACCTCAACTGTATATTTCTAACCTCCCCGCATGAACACTGAAATTTTATTCGCTAATTATTTATTTATATTCTTTCTCGTCAATAGGAGTAGACAGATTCGCCTATCGTCCGGTTTAAACTCCTCCCCACTCTTTTCAAAAGGAGTAAAGATTTATCCCTTATTTCCTGTTTAGGATTGGGTTTCCGGTTGCCTCTTTCACTGCCAGTAATCCTTTGCGTCTTAGTGGCATTATCTCCTTGCTTGGTAGTGAAGTGATAGAAAAAAGTTACAAAAGTTACCTGGTAGTCTAGCCTGATGACACTCTGTCTGCACAGAATTAGATTTGGTCTAGTAGGCAGCGGAGCACGTCACTCGAAGAATAATTCCTCTACTGTCATCCAAGTTCTTTTCCAGATGCACTGCTTATTGAAAATAGTATCGTTGTGCTTTGACTCGACTATTTATATATGCTAAAACACAACACACGTGACCTGAAGATTATGTTGAAGCTTGAAACAGACTGTCGCCACACGGTGTTGACCTCAGTTTCCACTGAAGTAAATTTTAACTGGTCATGCAGATCATTTTTACAGTTTGATCACCACTATATGCTCCCTAATTATGGACATCTACCAAACTAACCTAAGAATATGAAATTATTTTCTATAACTTCAACGAGAATCATTAGCTTATCCGACATTATCGAACTATCGAATAGGCTGGAGACACACCTAGGACATTCCTAGGAGTAGAGATTCGTCTATCGTCCGGTTAATACTCCTCACTCGTTATTTTAAAGGTTTATCCTTCATTTCATGTTTAGGATTTGATTTCAAATTCCTTCTAAAGTATACACATTTTCTTTCTCTCCCAATAGCCACTTGAATCTTAGTGACATTATTGCCTTGGCTCGGGGGAGGGGGGATTACATCGCTGTGTAGTAATGGGTAGCGAACAAGTCTAGAAAACATTTTCCCTGTGTGGCTAGTTTGATTATTTCTTGGGGGTACTTAAACTTATATTCTCCTACCAGACTAAGCACACACACACACACACACACACACACACACACACACACACACACACATATATATATATATATATATATATATATATATATATATATATATATATATGAAAATCTTTCAGAGTTAACGTGTAGAAAAAAGACAAAATGTATAAGGTGAAAAGACAATACGAATTTCGTTCAATGTGGACTTTTGCAAGGCAAAACTAAATGAATTTATTGAAAACAAAATAACTATTAACAACAAACAAAATGTCCTTAGCAAATGGAAGAATTTAGAAAACGCGAGTGTATTTTTCATTTGGCAATATGAATGCAATAGCGTTTTCTAAATTCTTCTAATTGCTAAGGAAATTTATATATATATATATATATATATATATATATATATATATATATATATTGATAGCATGTTAGTAGGATATAGAATAATGTCTGAACAAAGAAGACAAGACAAGGTTGCAGAGATCTATATACATCTAATGAAGTAACGTGGACGGAACAGCCGAAACGTTGTGATATCATCAACAAAGACGAGGACAATAATCCGAATGTAAATAGTTTAAATAATGACAACTTCTTATTGCTGAGTTTACTAAAATGCAGAGGTTTATTTTTTGGGAACTATGTAATTTATACAACTGTATATCTTTGTCTTTAAATTTCTCTTGCATCTGCATGCTTTCCCAACACGCTAAATCACTGAATGTGCACCTGATCCAAGTTTTTGCATCTTGTCAAAATAATAATTTCTTTATTCTTAATTTTTTTTTTTAATTTTTTTCTTATTTTTTTTAATCTGCATGGTGCACTTCTTTTCATAGATGAATTATTCAATGACATTAAATCGTCGCTGGGCGATACTTGTTCGTTCATCGCATTTCTCGACTCACTAATGGTAATTCAGCGATCGCTTTTCGCGGTAACATTACTAACCGCCTGTAGGTGGTTTCTTGGGCTAACGGTTACCGCTGACATGAAGTAGAAAAAATATATTGAGTCAATTTGCTAAGTGTGCTACTAAGAAAATTGGCTCATTGTCTCGTGTTTGACACTTTCTCGTGTAAATCTATCTTACATAAGTCTACCATTCGTCTATACCGGGAATATTGCTGCCACATATGGTCTGGAACCCTAGCTATATATTTAAAGAACCTAGATAAAATCCAAAGAAAAATCTGCGATGTTTTTAGTCCTGTTCTGGCATCTCGGCTTCACTCACTTTCCCAGCGCATTAGCGTAGCTTCTCTGTGCCTTTGTCTATAAATACTTCCATGGTAATTGTTCTAGACTCTAGGAATTTAAGGGCAGTGACGGTGGTGTAATGGATAGCAGCTCGGATTAAAAAATCGGAGAGCCGAGTTCGAATTCCGTGCTATTACCCTTGGGAAAGGTATGAATCTTCTTCTTCCCCCCCATAGGTAAATATCAGGGCAGACCGGGTTCTATAGCCTAGGATGGTAACTAGTCTACCGCAGAACGAAATGGCAACCTACTGCGGGAAAAAATCTGGCTCGTCTTCCATGAATCGAAAGATAAATGACCGCCTAAGCGTGTATCAAGTATGGAACATAACTAACTGAACCTTGGAAAAGGTATGAATAATCTTCTTCTCCACCCGCCCCAGCTATGGGCAAATAGCAGGACAGACCGGCTTCTATAGCCTTGGATGGCAATTGGTCTACCGCAGAAAGAAATGGCAACCTACTGCGGGAAAAAATCTGTCTCTCATGTATCGAAAGATAAATGATCGCCTAAGCGTGTATCATGTATGGCACATAACTGACTGAAACTTGGGAAAGGTATGAATTCTCTTCTTCTCCAGCTATGGGAAAATAGCAGGAGAGACCCGCTTCTATAGCTTTTGATGGCAACTGGTCTACCGCAGGGAGAAATAACAACCTACTGCGGGAAAAAATCTGCCTCGTCAGTCATGTATCGAAAGATACATGATCGCCTAAGAGATCGCACATAACTGACATTGGCATAAAGCCTCATGATTTCTCATCTGAATTAGCTAGATGCAACCGTAAGTTCTATGCTGACAGTTTCTTTTCTCGCACTTCTCGCTTGTGAAACTTAATTCTGGTTTCTTGCTTTCCAACTTTAAATTTCAAAAGTTTAAATGCAACGTCAATCGTTATCTTCTGTCCTAAACTTCTTTTGTCGTTCGTGTTCCTTAATAATGTTTCTCCTTTTCTTATATTCTTTCATGCTCTCTAACTCCTCGCGTTTTAGTGGCTCTTTTACCTTCCTTGGGGGTAAAATGACTAAAGTTTGCTGCAATAAATAGCAATAGATGATCTCTTCTTTTGAAAGAGGGGCATTCATTTTTTTTCTTTAGTCATATTAGTGTAAGTGGTAGCTGTAAACTCCCTAAGCTAAGATTTGAACTCTCGTTGAATAAACCTTTTTAGGGGCTGTAATCCATTGGGATAACTCCGAACGCCCCACGAAAACTAGAAGGAAACTTTTTAAGATCCACCGTTTAATTCCACCGAAGCAAAGAACAGGTAAATACATGGGAAGATTTACATTAAGAATTCCGGTGTAATGGCACAGGGTATACCCTGAGTTATTTTAGGCCAGGCTGTTTTATAAGTTATAAGTGACTTTAACCTTTTGGACAACCTCACACCGCTTTAATCATCATGGGCTTACGACCACATCAGGTTCAGTCACCAGTTCCCGTACGATCACCGAAGTTAAGTAACGTCGAGCCTGGTCAGTACCTAGACGAGTGACCGCTTGGGATTACCAGGTACAATATCTTGGATGTGCGGGTGTTGTAATCGATGATGACTCTGATTTGTTAATTAGAGAGCCGAGTTCCAATTTTTGGGGTCGTTATAATCACTAACGCGCAAATACTCTTGGGAAAGGTAAGAATATATCTCATTTACCCCCAGCTATGGATTAATTATTAAGACTTGTATTAAACTAAACTATTATTACCCCCCTACACACACAAAAATTGTGTACAATATATTTAGATTTCAGCATTAAAATGTCGATGATTATTGAAATGCCGCTAAACAAACGCAAACACATTTAATATCACAGCTGTTTTCCTTTGAAGCCACACAAGAAATCAATGTTTTCTCATCTTCAGCGTTTCCATCTGCTCAGGTCCATTCGTGTTTTTCAACAACCATAAGCCCAACTTATCTTTTATACTGAGCAGATCTTAGTTCAAATATGTATCCCACCAAAGGATAAATACAGTTTTGAATTCAGAGTTGTCCTTCTCTTACACTGCTTTTTGAATACTGCTGAAGAGTACATTCAGTCCGACTATTTAACCTATGTCTGGGGAGAGAAAGATGGTACCTGCAGCTCGGAAATCCGCGCACGGATTGTCACAGCCATTGGCAACGATGGTAAAATCAGATTTCAAACGGATGTAATTGGCCCTGATCTGGCATCTCGCCTGCAGTCGCTCTCTCATGCCGTCGCCTTCCTCAGTCTTTTTTTACAAATAATTTCACAGTAACTGCCCCGATGAGCTGCTTTCGCTGGTTCCCAGACTTCATGAATTTAAGCGTTCAACTAGGCTGGCATCTCGTTCTCACCCGTTCACTGTCGAAACTGTTAAATGTAGCCATCTCTTTTACTTCAATAGCTTCATGTCTCGCACCTCTCGCCTGAGGAACACCCTTCCCTTTTCCTGTTTCCCTTATAGCTATAATCTCCAACTACTAAAATGTAATGTCAATCGACGTCTCCAGATGCCCTGATCTATCCCCTATCCTTCTCTTCATCCTTTTCTCTATCACTCCTATTTGATCTCGCTTCAACTCTCTATAACTCTTGCGTGCTAGTGGCTTCCCGCCTTGCTTGGGGTGAAACGCTTTTAAAAAAAGTACGGACTGTACAAATTGTTTCTGATCTCCATTATCCTATATAAGTGTGAAACATGGACACTGCTGAGAGAAACATGGAGAAGTGTCCAAGCGTTTGAGAACAAATGCCTGAGAAAACTCCTTGGCATCTTTTATTGGGAACATAAAACTAATGAGTTTGTGCGGAAAAGGGTTGAAAGATTTGTGAGCTACCAGGAACCTCTCCTCATCATTGTCAAACAGAGAAAAATGGTGTGATTTGCACACATTACAAGGTACATCAGCTTATACAAGACCATCATGCAAGGCACCGGTGAAGGTTGACGTACGAGAGGACACCAGCGCAAAAACTGGTAGGACAATGTCAGATAATGGACAAGTATGACTGTACCAGAATTGCTGATAGTTGCCGTCGTTAGACTGTTATGGATTCAATATGGCTTCTGCATTTGGATCCCCACTACGATTACAAAAGGGGGATAAGACGAGGTGATGACGAGAAGAGAACAGTTTAATTAGTACCTTTCCAAAGGATATTTGTTCCAAAGTAAAGATCTCGACCAGAGTTCGATCTTTGCTTAACATTTTATCATACTGAGTTTCTAACCATTACATTAATAATCAAAACACTGCTAATTTAATCATATAAATTTTGGTTATTTAAAACTATAGCCTGCCTCAATTAATTTTTAGTATAATTTTTATTTGATTGATTCTTTTACGGTTTATCGACCCTTTTAAAGCCAAAATGTATTTTCAAATGTAAGAATAATACATTTTTTCTTTGGTGAGTTAATATTGCATTAAAAACATTTGGAAGATAATGATTTTTCCAGTTAAAAATTCAACTGTTTAACTGGAAAGAAAGATAAATTTATATATTTTCCAAGGATATTTACATGTAAATGAATGCAACGAACTGGAATTTGAAACCGGATCTTCGATTATTCTTTTTTTTTTCTTTTTTTTTTTAATCTAAAACAACTTAGCCCGTGTCATAAATCCGTAAATACCATATATTTCATTCCGTAGGTTTAAGTTTTTTTGTTTTGTTTTTAAATTACCCCTCCACACATTTTTATACGAAAATACGGATTATTGTGTTTAAAAATCCACCCTGCTTTATATATCTAAGCTAAAAATTGAATCCCCGGAAATGGATAATGTTAAGTAGATCATTTCTTTTTGATACAAAAGTTGATACCCGTTTCATTTTCCTTCTCAAAGAATACAATAAACCTCTCAGTGTCTAACACTTGAATCTGAGGTAAATAAAACGTGTATTTTAACATTGAATCCATTTAATCCTTTTAAAATAGCGTTTAGAGTATTTTAAGCATAAGACTTCCTCTCGATTGATCATTCTATAAATATTAACTGAGAAAGTATAAAAGATTAATACCCAAATAAAAGTTAGTATACGCCTCCTATAAAATGGCTTCTTTTTTCTTCTTTTATGTGATGTGTTCCGTCAGGACGTAAGCGATCATGGCTTTCCACTTCCCTCTTTCAATAAGTCTTGTCCCTTTGCTACTTCCCACAGACCATGTTCTCATATCCACTTCCTGAAGTCCGCTAGGTATGTCATGTGTTGCTTTCAATTGTCTCCTTTCCCTCTATTCGACCTGTGAGTATCTGATTCTCCAAGCCCTCCTTTCTCATTATGTGTCCCAGAAATTTTAGCTGCCTCATCCTGATGTCAAGTATAAGCTCTCTCTTTGTTTGCATCCTCTCCAGAGCCTCATCGTTGCTCACACGCTCGGTCCATGATATCCTTATCATCCTTCTGTAGAACAATACCTCCGTTGCCTCGAGTCTCGTTTTTTTTATTTGAGGAGACCGTCCAACATTCGTTGACGTAAAGGAGGACAGATGTTAAGTAGCAGTTCAGTACTCGTTTCTTTGTTACCGAAGAGATCCTCCTTCATTTTTCCTCCTCAAAGAATACAATAAGAAGATCAAAGTTGACTTTTCCATAAGTTGCGCATTTGAGAATTGCGATATTTATTCATTTCATTTAATTTAATGAAAGAGAAAACATTCATGATCAAAGTTTTCGTACCACATTGTACAGACTAACCGGATTGTAGAATAACAATAATAAACAGCACTTACCAGCGTAAAGGTCCCAGCTAGCGTCCAGCTGGCAGACAAAAATAAAGCAGATTGTAACTTTATTCTCTGCCTATTATCTGATTCTACAAATCCCTCTTTTCTCCTTACGGCTCCCAGAAATTTCAGAAAGCCTCTCCCATATGTTAAGTATAAAAATGCCTCCATGTTATAATCCTTTCCAAAACCTCATCGTTGCTCACATATAGGTTCATGATATCCATAACATCCTTCTGTAGAACAATATCCCCGTTGCCTTGAGTCTTTAAGGAGTCCGTCCAGCATTCGCTGCTGTATAGGAGGATAGATATCACGTAGCAGCTCTGTACTAGTTTCTTTATTACCAAAGAAATCCTCCTGTTTCGTAATACTCTGCTATGTATCTGATTCTCCAAGCTCTCCTTTCTATTTACGTGTCCCAGAAATTTTATCTGACCCCTCCTGATGTTAAGTATAAGCTCCCTCCTTTTTTGCATCCTCTTTAAGACCTCATCGTTGCTCACACGCTCGGTCCATGATATCCTTATCATCCTTCTGTAGAACAACACCTCCGTTGCCTCGAGTCTCTTGCTTTTATTTGAGGAGACCGTCCAGCAATCGCTGCCGTAAAGGAGGATAGATGTCACGTAGCAGTTCATTACTCTTTTCTTTGTTACCAAAGAGATCCCCCTGTCTCTTAATATTCTCCACTTCCAACATATCCCTTGTAGGTCTCAATAAGTTTTATCCCTTGCCTACTTCTCACACACCACGTTCTGTCATCCACTTGCTTAAGCCCTCTAGATACGTCATGTGTTGTTTTCTCTTATCTCTCTCTCCCTCTATTCGACCTGTGAGTATCAGATTCTCCAAGTCCTCTTTTCTCATTATGTGACCCAGAAATTTCAGCTGCCTCTTCCTGATGCTAAGCTTCCTCCTTGTTTGCATTCTCTCCAAAACCTCTTCGTTTCTCACACGCTCGGTCCATAATATCCTTAGCATCTTTCTGTAATTCCATTTGCCTCGAGTCTCTTCTTTATATATGAGGAGACCGTAAATACAATAAATAAACCCGAAAATCAGGTTTTATATAATTACACTGGATTGCATACTGTAAATAAATTGTAAGTTTTTTTTTTATTTATTTTTTAAAATTTATTTATTCATTTCATTTAATTTAATGAAAGAGAAAACATTCATGATCAAAGTTTTCGTACCACATTATACAGACTAACCGGATTGTAGAATAACAATAATAAACAGCACTTACCGGCATAAGGGTCCCAGCTAGCGTCCAGCTGGCAGACAAAAATAAAGCAGGTTGTAACTTAATACAAACCCTGCAAACTAACAGCTGAATCAAGCTGGTATTTATATAGAAATACCTCCACTCAGGTACCAGCAGCCAATCACAGCCCAAGCAATGGACTATCCCACTTTAGCACAATGAGATGCTCCATTGCACCATAAATAGCTCGCTTTCTAAAGGTTGGATTATTATTCACTTAGCTTGCTCCACAACTAAGTGTTTATCTCTACCACGTGATTTTTCTACACGGATTTTTTTATATACTTTTTATGTTATGTGATTTTATAGATGGTTGCATGTACGCGGATATTTATACAGTTAAGTCGTTAAGTGAGGAGTAAGTATATGACTTGTAGATTCTCCAGTCATATAAGTAAAAAAATCAAGCCATTCAATCTAGTTGTCAGTCACAGAGGACTTTCATTTTATGTCCTCAAATATAGACACTTTTTTTTTATCGATTCCTAAATACATTCATTCCTTGCTTAACGACCATTTTCATTTACAACGAGCTGGTCGCT